ACAGGACAGCGGGTATCACTTTAAAGAGATAGTTTGCACAAAACCCATTTCAGTGACTGACAATTCATAGGAAGGGCGTTTTAACATTCAAGCACAGGAAAAAAGTAGAAACCTGACATAATTAATGCTTTTGTTTGTTGTAGTACATATTGAAGGGGTAGTTCAAATTGCTACAAAAATACTACAAATAATATGCATAATAATTTAGGGACTTTACTGGCAATTGTTCTTCTCAATCTTTCTTTTTTTTTTTTTTTTTTGGAAAACTACAACAAAGTGTGTAAAAGTATATACATACTCACATTTACTTTAACAAGTGCAATTCAACTAGCAGTTCTATTTTACTAATGTACATCATTTATGTAAATCTTAATAAGCGTATGAGGAAAATCTATAAAATGAGACCATTTGAATCAAAAATGAGCAAATTGATCACATTTGTTACACCACCAGCATAATGTGTAAGCCATGAAGATGTTTGTACAACAAAATACAAGTGGTATAAAACTGATAATAATCAAACGACCCTTGAATATTTACAAAAACAGAGCTTGAGGGCGAGTAAACAGTAAGTAAACTTTCATTTTGGGGAGAAAAATCCCTTTAATTTAAGATCAGAGGACATTTGCATGTTAAACTCAATCAACAGTATTAATTTGTTTTCATTTTCATTCATTCATTTCATCATTCAAACACCAACACACTCTCTCATTAACACACTCTCATACACTACGAACAATTTAGTTTATTCAATTTACCTAAACGGCATGTCTTTGGATTGTGGGGAAAACCGGAGGACCTAGAAGAAACCCACACAAACACAGGGAGAACATGCAAACTCCACACAGAAAGGCAAACTGGGCCAGCCGGGACTCAAACCCGTGACCTTCTTGTTGTGAGGCGACAGTGCTAACTACTGAGCCACCATGCCGCCCCAATCAACAGTATTTGAGGTATTGTTATTGTGCTATAATCAACATGTTAAGATAAAATTAACCTCGAAAAAGGGAAAAAAATAAGTTAGCGATGATTAATTGTAGCTTGTAATTAAAAACACTTAAGAGTCATTATTTTCTAGAAAAGTGTGTCTTTTGGCAGTAAAGGTGAAAGTCAAGTGCTATCTTGGGGTTTCCGCCTGTATTTTCATTCATTCATTCATTCATTTTCTTTTTGGCTTAGTCCCTTTAATAATCAGGGGTCACCACAGCGGAATGAACCGCCAACTTATCCAGCATATGTTTTATGCAGCAGATGCCCTTCCAGCTGCAACCCATCACTGGGAAACCCATACACACTGATTTGCGCAAACACAAATACAGCCTGTATTTTGCCTACCCAAATTAAAAAGCTTCCCAAAACCACATGCAGAGGTGTAAATGCAAAATTTTGGTATTATTTTCAAGAAATCTCTTTGAATTTTAATAAAACAATGTTGAAAGTGATTAAAATAATTGCATATATTGTCTGTGTTATAATAAACCCATCCAAAAAAGAAGCGCCATTTTTGTTAACGCAAATTTGAAAGTCAACCTTTTAGGTTCTGTGTGGTCTAGGTTGCTGTAATTAATTTTGATGGTTCCTGCATATGTCAGTAAACATAGGAAAAAAGAAAAATGTCTCTATCATCATAATCTATCCAAAAGTTACTCTATTCCAACTGATGATGAGAGAACGGAAACACTTATGGGGGTATTGGGCCAGTACGGTCCTTTAAAATTTAAAGAATGCAGAAGTAAATGACGTCACGGACTCGGTACCGAGTACGCAGAGTTAATTTAAATATAAATAAAATTGGGGGGGAAAAAAATGAAATTCTGGCCAATTCTGCTAACTCAACAACTATATTGAGGCCAATAAATACACATCTTGATATATAAACTGGGTATTTACATTCACAGTAACAAAATAATACTACGAAAGTCAATCAAGGCTACCAGTTTTCAAATTTCTTCAAAATATCTTCTTTGTGTTCAACATAAGAAACAAGCTTAAACAGGTTTGGAATTAGTAAATGATGACAGATTTTTTTTTTTTGGTCAAATAACCTTTAAAATTTGTTCATATAATTATTGACAGTTTCAATGTTGCCATAGGAGTTCATTGTAAGAGGTGGAAGCTAGACTTGATTTTTGAGTGTTCTTGTTCCTGCTGCTGAAACATGAATGTGCATAAATTAAAATTCATTCAGGACCCCTGCTTCCACACTTCATTGGAAAATTGAAAACATAACTGACTGTCAAACTCACCGATGTACCAATAGAGCCAAACATGAGACGCCAACATTTTACTGCACATCTGTGAATCTGATCCTGAAATCAAACTTAGCAGGCATCCCGTCTCAGTTCAAATCAAAGGCCATGGTAAACTGTATTTGGAAGACACTGATACCAGGACATGAGGGATTCCTCTGTTATGTGATCCTCTCTGGCAATCCTCTCATTGTAGAGGCATCCACAATCAACTGATCCAACTTCATCACAGGGGAACACTAAGAGGTCGCATTACATCCCAAAACCAGACTATACTTCTGCTTTGCTCTCAGCATATAAGCTCCTCAACACGTGGACTACCGTCTGCTTGTGCTCTCAGAAACTGTAAAACGTTTATATTGTGTTGTTATCCTCAAAAAAAAAAGCAGCCAACAGCCACATAAAAACCATTTGCCAGATTTATTTACTCGCATTAATTCGTTTGGGCTAATCTCCTAACCTCATCTTACTTTGGTGCGCGTTGTGTTGATTTAAGCAGACGCAACACCTCCATGAGGCTAAACGTTCTCAGGAGAACCACTCAAAGGAAGACGCAATTATAAAAAGCCACTGATAACTTGTTTCCCTCAGAGTCTATGGAAGGGAATTCAATACCACATTGTTTTCGATCAACTATAACACACCGGAAAAGCCTGTGTTTTAACAGCATTAGGCTTTAGATGGCGACCACAACAACTCAAAATGTGTCAGGAGCGCTTGGGAAAAGTGCCAGGCTGGAGGAGAAGATATTGATTTACTGGGCAGACTCCCTGAGATTTTTAGTGAGTAAAATAAATCTTAATTAGAAGCACTCCGAAATTGAAAGAGGAAATCAACTGAGACACGATAAATTCCTCAAGATATGCTACAGACATATGCTTCCGTTACAAACAGCAAATCTGAAATAACTCTATTATTTACAATTGACTTAAAACACACTTTTTATACCAAGTCATAAATGAAGTAAAATGAAGTCAATTAGTACAGAGACCCTTACTACTAGCAACACTTCTTGAAATACCTTTAAAGCAAATGGTTATATGAAGACAACAAACATCCAGGTGCTGTTCACACTGCTGAAAGCAACATTTGGATAAGAATGTAAACATGTGCTGCTAATTTGCTTCTTAATAACAAAATACATGAACAACAAAAATGGAAACAGCGTTCTCTAAAAGCATCTGATTTTAGCAATAATGTTGACAGATGACAAATAAATTTACACAGCTACAGTATGAAGCACATGATTATTAAGTTCTATCAAGTATAATGGAGAATCCAGACTATAGATCTGGCTTTGTGAGACTATATTTTGAATAAAACCCCTTTCTTGGCATGACAGAAAAGTACAGAAAGACTCTTTCAACATTATCTTTTATTTTAAGCATTCGTTTCATGTGTCAGAATCGAAGAGGTGATGTACATGTCACATCCTTTTGATTATCCCAGCAGAAATGCTCAGTCTTTCACATAAAAAGTTGTCAATAGGCATTCAAAACAACCTAAGAAGTCAAAGAGTTTTTTTTTAATTATTAAAATCTGTGGAATAGACTGCAATTCTTGTCTACAGCCATTTTAAATGTTTGTTTGTTTTTGTAGCATCCACAATGACTTTTCACATAGAAAACCATCCACACACCTAACCAGTACAATATTGTTATGTGAAAGGCGGGGAGGACATACATTTATAACTAAAGAGAGTCTAAAATCATCAAAAACACTACCTTATTATACATTATCTGAGCATAAGAAATACTAAAATTCCATACCACCATAAACAGCAAGTAAGGCAAAGCCAGTTCACAGTGCATTGATTTAAGGTTCAGTGGCATTAAATAATTTGATCCGCTTATTGAGGCTCCAGCACAAGCATTAAGACTGTTTGCTCTGATGCTTAGGAAAATAACTGTGTGCAAGTACAGTGCATTCATGTTAAACACATTGTTGCTTAATACTGTACCACAAAGAGACGGCCAGCAGGTTGGAAACAGTATAAGATTCTCAGAAAGGAACTGGCAACCATACATAATTTTCATATTCAGAACGCTCTTAAAAATAAATTTGACATGCATGAAAAACCTTTTCACATCCAAAAATTATTTCAGTTTCATAAAAGGTTCTTCATTCTTTATGTTATTATTTGGCCCTTCCAGGTTTATTTTTATATTGCTATGAATATATATAATAATAAAGATTTAAATAGATTTTTAATTTATATTACAGTAATTTATTTAGATTTGTTGATTCTTTTCCAGAAAATGACACTGGTCAAATGTTTTCATTTGTTGTGATCGGAAATAGAGATGTTTACAAAATAAGACAAAAAAATATTGTTTTACTCAAAAACAACTGGCCTATATTGCCATTTTGAGCACTATATATAAATATAATTTAGTTTTGCTAACCAATTGCCATTATCTGAAAAAAAATCTTCAAAATGACAGTAGATATATTTGAAAATAAGAAGAAATATTAACAGACCTTTATAGCTTCAAAATATATAAATGTTTTACTCAAACCCCCACCTAAATCCTGTGAATCTAGATAAACTGAGAATTGTCAAGCAGTCTCCTAATTTTTCATCCATAAATAATACTAATAACAATACAACTACTACTAATAATAAAAAATATTAGAAGTAGTAGATTTAAACAAAATATATTAATTTCATCAGCAGAAACGCCGCAGTTGATTCCGCTGTCAAAACAAAAACATCCTTCATCCAGTCACATTCACAGCCAATCGCCTTACCTTTTTCTTGGCAAGAAGAAAGGATCTCTTCCTCCTTTGGATTTGCTACCTGGGTAATGATGGACGTGTTGTCCATGGAAACGGGATTTTATTCCTCCTCGGTCACTTATGTTTTGATAATTTTCGGCTAGCCTGATGCTAGCGAGCTAGCGTGTGAGTCCAGATGGCAGACGCACCATACATGCATTCACCGCACACGATCCTCCAGCACCGCATCCAAATAAACACACACACGCACGCACACACGCACACACACCGCACAAACAGCAGATCCTCCTGTCAGACCGCAGAAACTAGCAACAGTTCAGCCTTCATGTCCTGTGAGGTCTATGGAGATCAGTGACAGTGTGTAATAACAAAGAGTCTGATCTGCAGCCGCTCTTTTCTCTCCCCGTATGTGTGTGTGTGTGTGTGTGTGTGTGCGCGCGCACACACAAACTAATGTGACCGTGTGAAACTGGGATTTGCAACAATGTAGCCTACTGTGGTAACAACTACAGTGAGAATGACCTGCTTTTGGAAAGACATTGTTGATGTTAAAAACACGGGGGGAATTAAGGTAAGGCACTGCAGGTGAGTATGGTAAAAAATAAAATAAAATCAAATAGGCCTAATTAAAAATAAATAAAATAATAATAATAATAATGATAATATAGGTTAATCAGTCAGATGATGTATAACAATATTCCCAAATAACCTTCAAATTATAGACATAAGTAAATCTTTAAAGTTTGGTGTATGTATATATTTATACGTACAAATTAAATTATACAAAATGTAAAAGTGAATTTTGGATGTTTTGTTTAAACCAGGAAAAATGAGAGAGAGAGAGAGAGAGAGAGAGAGAGAGAAAGAGGTCTTAGATTAATTCATTGTGATATTGTGTTATTGAAGTTTACATTACTTGGTGATCATAGTTTTACTTAATATCAGCTAAGCTGTCAGAAGAAGCAGAGGCAAACAATAAATTTCATGACAATATTCTAATTTAGGATGTCACGATGGCACAGTGGGTAGCACGATCGCTTCACAGCAAGAAGGTCACTGGTTCGAGTGGGTCAGTTCAGTTGTCATTTCTGTGTGGATGTTCTTCTCCTGTTCACATGGGTTTCCTCGGGTAAGCTAAATTGTCTGAAGTGTATGGGTGTGAATGAGTGTGTATGGGTGTTTCCTATTGTTGGGTTGCAGCTGGAAGGGCATCCGCTGCGTAAAACAGATGCTGAAAAAGTTGGCGGTTCATTCCACTGTGGCGACCCCAGATTAACAATACTGTAGGACTAACCTGAAAAGAAAATGAATGAATGAATAAATGAATTAAACTATTTTAATTAATCCCTTATGCATGTTTTCTACAAAAGTAACAATTAAATGTTTTAATTAAACAAAAATAATAATAATATTACATTATTTCTAAAAACAACAACGTAATATGCTCTACAAAAAATAAACATCTTGAATTTTTTTAAACAAATAATATACAAAATATATAATTAAATCATATTTCTATTTCATTATTTAAAAACATTGTGCAATGTATGCCCTGCAACACACACAAACACACACACACACACACACACACACACACACACACACACACACACACACACACACACATCAGTTTTCATTTTGTTTTCTATACAAAAGAATATTTAAATTATTCATTCATTCCTTCATTTTCTTTTTGGCTTAGTCCCTTTATTAATCCGGGGAAAATACTTCTAAAATATATAAAATAAAATTTCACATTAAACTGTTTAATTACTCCCAGGTTTGTTTGTATTTTTTTAACTGGCTTTTAAAATATTTGCAGTATATGTTACCAGTTTTCTTAGTTGCTTAATCTGTAAACATCAGATATGACGAATAAAAAAAATCTTAAAGATAAAAGCATAAAGTACACATCTGTGGTTTAAAGGGAAATGCTTTTGCCGAGATACTAAGAGAATTCGCAGTGATTTCAGAAATCTTTTAATGACAGAGAGAAAGAGAGAGTGAAAAAGAAAGAGGTGGGAGGGTTATTGAATATTTTATGAAGGTGGGTGTTTGATCTTAATGTTTAATAAGGCTGGCTGTGTGATGCAATCGTCACTTCGGATGGTTTTACAGCTTTTTTAAATACTCTTATCACATTTTTATAGCCTTTGTACTCATCATGCAATATTAATAAAAGCGATTATGTAAATATAAATGAAAACATTTCAACAGTCAATAAAACAAATAACATTTTGTGTGTGTTGGTCTTATGTAGAGTTGTTAAGTGTGTTAAATGTGTTGACAGTGTTTACATTCTGGCGAATGGCTTTAGTGTAAATAAAAAATGGATTTACTAAATAGTTTTTCCATGGTTGTTGTAACAAGGCAATATTTAAATGTGTGCTTATACTGACATCTGGTGGCTAAATAGTAAATTGTTAGTTTTGTTATTTTATTATTATTTTTTTTAAACTTTAGTCAATATTCAAGCCTTGACAAGTGCATTTTGGAATTAGTTTTAATTTATTTATTTATTTATGTATTTACAGTTGATGCCTCATATTCTAAAACATTTGGCTGACTATCAAGTCCTGGTTAAAAAACCTGGTTCGGAGGTGATAATAAATAAAGGCTCAACTGAAGTGAGTTCGATTAATTTAGTAGATGCTTACACCAGATTTACACAAATTATGAACACTTAAAAACAAACATTTCACCTGAAGACATTAATTTATTATGTTATGTTATGTTATGTTATGTTATGTTATGTTATGTTATGTTATGTTATGTTATGTTATGTTATGTTATGTTATGTTATGTTATTTTATGGGCAATGCAGTGGCGCAGTAGGTAGTGCTGTTGGCTCACAGCAAGAGGGTCGCTGGTTTGAACCTCAGCCTGCGTAAAAATGTGCTGGATAAGTTGGCAGTTCATTCCACTGAAGCGACCTCAGATTAATAAAGCGACTAAGCCGACAAGAAAATGAATATTATATTATATTATATTATATTATATTATATTATATTATATTATATTATATTATATTATATTATATTATATTATATTATATTATACATTTTAGTGTAAGGAAAAGCAGTCTTAGTCTTTGACTTAGTCTTAGTGAAGAACTTGGCAGCTTCTATACTGTCTATCCACACTGATTGATAACTAAAATTATAAAAGTGTTATTAGTAATATCCTGAACTACTCAAGTCTTGAACTCTACATCATCCATCATCAGTGTAAAGCTGCACTCCATCTTACTAAAGTTCAAACTACTGCACCAACTGCAAAGAACTTGACTATGAAACCAATGCTTATACAGGTATTCAATGCTCAAAACTCAAAGTATTTTTTAAATTATATATATATATATTTGTTCAAATTAGTAAATAAATGTATTCATTCATTCATTTTATTCTTTTAGATGGTTACTCAATATTTATTTAGAAAAAAATATTTATAAATTAGACTACATACATATATATATATTCATTATTAGTATATTAGTATATTAGTTATTAGCGACACAGTGGCGCAGTAGGTAGTGCTGTCACCTCATAGCAAGAAGGTCACTGGTTCGAGCCTCGGCTGGGGTCAGTTGGCATTTCTGTGTGAAGTTTGCATGTTCTTCCTGCGTTCGCGTGGGTTTAAATCGCGAGGCTAAATTGTCCGTAGTGTGTGTGGATGTTTCCCAGGGATGGGTTGCGGCTGGGAGGGCATTCGCTGCATAAAAACATGCTGGATAAGTTAGCGGTTCATTCCGCTGTGGCGACAACGGATTAATAAAGGGACTAAGCCGAAAAGAAAATGAATTAATGAATTAATATAAGTTATCAGTATATTGTTTAATTGATCAATATTTTATCAAAATGTATTTAGATTTTTTTTACTAATTTTAAATCATTATTAAAATTACTAAATTTATTACTAACTGTAATGTTAATACATTATTTAACAATACTTAAAAATGTATTTTTTTATTTTTTTTATTATATTAGTAATAAAATGTAAAAAATATATTTATTTATTTATCTGTTTAACAAGTTTAAAAAGATTAGAAAATATTTATTACAACAATTTATTTTTCAGTTTATTTAATTAAAATAGAGAATTAATGTAAATCAAAAATTTATTATTAGTGAGTCGATCTGTTATTATTAGTATATAACAAACATTAAATATTCTTTTAAAAGTTTATTATTAAAAATAACTTTGAAATAGTAAAATTTACTAGTATATTATTTTGCTATTAGTAACTATTGATTGATGTATTTGTTTAAAAAGTTATGTTGCTTAAAAGGTGCAGAAAATATTATTTTAAATAGTTTATTGTCAAATTAAATTAATCAGATTAATTATAAGTTAGTCAATTCAATTCCTTTTATGGAATACCTAATACGCATTAAACATTTAAAATTTTGCAATTAATTATATAATTTATGTTTGCTTGTTTGATTGATTCTTTGTTTGCTTTAGTTTAGTTTCCACTCTTCTTGCCATTTTATAATATAAAGAAATAGAATGAAAAAGATTTCATAGGATATTTAGTTTTTTACATAATGTGATAAAATGACAGTATGTGGCAAAAAGAAATTACAGCGAATCTGCCATTTAAAAAGAAAATGTCGAAAGTGTCGAACAGAATCCCCTCCGAGACTTACTCATTTCTGGAGATTTCATCATTCAGTTCCGCTCTGCGGTCGGTCGCTCCTCCTCCTCTCGGTCCATGCTGTCTGTGTGTAGCGCAACATCAGCACTGCTCCTCAGGACCGGTATATTTATCGTCCGCGCGGTTCCGAGGGTCAGAACCAGTCCCGTTCATCTGTGCGGCTCCTCACCCACCAGAGTGCTCTCCCTGTCGGCCCATTTGTGCAAGAAGAAGAAGAGAAGCGCGTGGCTGGAGATGACGGAAGGACAAAATATGGATGGCAGCATTGAGGAGATTTTGGCTCCATTGAGGCTGGCAGTAAAGGAGCAGGTAAGAAAAAGGGTTATGATGAGAAATAAAAACATGCATATGCGATTTGCTGGATTATTGATTGATTGTTAGAGCTCTGCATTGCAAAGCTTTGCTTTTATTCCAAGTCGAACCATCATTCAGAAATCAGAAGTGACTATTTACATTAAGCCAAATGGTTAAAATGGCTTGTTTATGAAAATGAAATTTCGTAGGAGTGATGTTTCCACAAGTACGGCAGGGTGGAGCCTTTGTTTGGGTTTATAATGTTGAATGATTCGGTCTGTCAGTGCCACGTTTGAGATGAAGCCATTCTGACATAACAGAGGCTGAGGGTGGAGGAAAACACACCGTTAAAACGAAACTATGCCCAAAACGAAAATATTTAATTAAGGTTAAGTTGGTTTTATATTTTTATTTATTGTTTTATTTTATGTTTCTATTCTCAATTTCACCACCTTAATATAATTTGAGAAAAGTATTTTTGC